TTCCTACCTTCATTAGAATTCATATACAACACCTTTATTCATTTTGACGGAATCCAAAATGTACTAAATGTAAGAAAATTTGAGAACATTTATCTAAAAATATATGATTAGAGATAAGATCAAAATGTTCATAATTTACCCGCAACTTAAAATCCCGTATATTTTTTTAATTTGTAAATATTGGTCAGTACTTTTTTTCTAAAAAGGAAGCTGCCTTGCAACCTTCTAATCATGAACGATTGATGGAGCACGAAATCAGTTTCGAGCTGTCATTGGTCAGTTATCAAATGAAGTATTTATATTAAAAATATATACCACTCTTTATTTATTTACTTTCAATTATAAAAAATAATTTTTTATAAATTCTTTAGATTCATATAAATATTTATTCTTAAACTTATCCGAAAAAGAAATATACCAAATAAATTTTAAAAATTCTTTGCCATGAAATAAAAAAAAAAATGGCAGCTAAATTGACAGTTTGTCGAACAGTCAAACATAGCCGCCTTCTAGACTCCAGACTCCAAAGCAAGTCTTGTAACCGCATTCAGTTGGCAGTTGCTTCTCTCCCACTGGGTGAATTTCTACACGCTGTCTCGATGCTATGTCTACTTTGTCTATTTTGCCCTTCTTACAATATTTGATTAGCCAAGCTTATATTGTCAATTATCGGATATTAAAATTTGATATTCTATTAATAAGTCAAATTTATTAACAACTTCAACTCATTAATAACAGAAAAAAAAATCATAACAATTTAGTTACCTTACTCTCTTTAAAAAAATTTTATCAACAGCAAAACTCTATAAATTTATTATAATAATATTAATACAAAATTTATCATATTTCACGTCGCATTAACAATATATTATTGATAAATTTGTAATTAAAAATCACAAATACGAGTAAAAAAGGGACTCGTTGAGACAATGCCAACAGAAAGTAATATGAGTAATGTTTAATACACCATGAAACGAATAATGTGAAAAGCGATCATGTTTGTGAACCATAAAATTAAAAGGGAAACAAAAAATGGTTGCCCAATTTGGTTTGAATCCTACACAAACTTTGTAATCCATTGTTTACTTGAAAGGAAAGTAGAATCCCATCGCCAATCATTTCTTTAACATCGTGAACAGTATAACACAACCTCAAAAAAAAAAAAAAAGAGACAAAGTGGGATTTTGGTATGGCATCACCCTGATAGATGAATCTGGTAAGCATATTATGGATTTTAGTAATGTTTCTAATTTTTTTAGGCCTCATGAATTTTATTTTTTGTTTGCATATTTATGATGCATTTTAGAGAACAAATTTTGTTAAACGGAATAAAACCATCAATTTTATTAGCTATAATTATACTTATACAGGTAATTGTTTTATTAGAATCATTGTTTAACCACAATTAAAATATTTTTTTTAATTTTGTTTGCAATTGATATATTATTTTTATTAAATTCAATAAAATATTATATTTATTACAATTTTTCTTAGTATTATTTTAATTCATATATGATGATGCTTATAAGCGTTTCCTTGTTTTTAAACAAGAGAAGAATCTCAATTAATAGCCTACATCATATTAAAGTTAAAGGTATAAATGAATCGATTAATCATATATTTAATTTTTATTTGTTTATATTAGTTTATTAAATTTAACAGATGATATTGAATAATATTTTTATATTTATTTATTAAATAAATTAAATGTGAATTGATGTTTGTTTAGTTTGTTTATATTTATGAACAAATTTATTTAAATTTTATTTTAATTTATTCTATTATTAGTCATTTATAATAATGATAATAATAACAAAATTATAGTTTTTATCCTTCTCTCTAAGTCTATTTTAAAATTAGTTTATATTCATTTACATCGTTTAGAATTTATTTAGTTATAATTTATTTATTATTTACAAATATTTTTTTTTAATATTTACAAATGAACTTATTTAATTTAATCGAATTAAATTTAATCATAAATCAAATGTGAACATCTTAACATTTAAACAAATCGACAATACTGAAAAAAATAATTTTTTTCATCGAACACAAATAGAATCCAAACAATTTTAAAAATAAATTAACAAATCACACATATATGTTCGTTCATTTATTCAATTTATTTACAACTTTAATTAAAGTTTCATAGGTTATTTTATTTTTGTTTTTTCTATTGCCATTTGAAAATAGAAAAACCTTAGTTGCGAAGTCCGTCCAATTGGTTGAAATTGATATGGGCATCAACTCTTTAAAAACTAGTCACACCTGTTAGTGAATGTGCTACTTTCATTTATTCCATCGAATTTACAATGTGGAATGTGGGTTATTGATCACAGTTGGTCGACTCTGGGTAGCTTAAGAATATTGGATAAGCTTGAAAAGTGAATCATTCTTTAAATATCCATAAAAAAAATCTCAATGTTTTCTCTCAATTATAAGCATAAAAATCAAAAGAGGAAACCTTTGTCCTATTTTTTTTTCTAATTTTAATAATCATATGAATTAATCTCAAATTCAAAATTTCAACTAGCTTCAACTTTTCTTTGTAACTTTATTTAATGGGATATAGTCATTATAGTAAATATAGTTATTTATAAATGAATTCTGAATTTTAAATTGGTTAATTCATATAGTAATTTTAAAATTTGAAGAAATAATATTAAAAATTTTAAAATTTAAATCTCAATTATTTATGATTTTTTAAGTTACAATTTAGATTACACCAAAAATTTAAGCGACCAATTCAACTTTTTTTTTTTGCCATTGATGCTTTAATTTTAAATCAAAAAGTTTATATTTGATACATTTTCAAAATATAGAGGTATAAATTAATAATGCACAATAAATTACCACATCATTATTAACAAACTCAAAATTTTAGAATTTTAAAAAATAAATATTTTTAAAATTTAAATATCTAAATATGTTAAAATAAATTAATAATGCAATGATTTTGTAAATTCATATTATATAATATTTATACATTGATAATGCATTAAATATATATTTTTTTTAAAAATATCTTAAAAGTAGGACAAATTAAAAGAAAAAAAACATGAAAGTAGCTATTGTTATAAAGTTTGAAGATGACGAAGAAACATGAAGGAAAATAAAATTGTGAATCCAGGTCCAGCCCAATCTTTTCTAACAGAAAGGCAAAAATTGGAGGTGTTCATAATTTGTTTTAATCGAAGTAGCCGGTTAAATCTATTTATTTTGGTTAATCGATCAATCATTAGTTAATTTTGATTAATTAATGAAAATAATTTTAGAATAATTTTAGTTTTTTAATTAATTTAATTTGAAAAATAAATTAACCAAAACATAATAAATTTCAAGTATAAAATAAAAAACATAAAATATATCATTTTATTTAAAAAAATTATTAGAGTTTTCAACATAATATTTTAATGAATAATTTTATTTAATTTATTTAAAATATAAAAATTTAAAATTTAAAATTTAATTTATGATTAATTAAAAAAATTAATTGAATTGACAGAATTAAATTATACAGATTAATTTTAAAAATTAATAAAATTGATTCAATTAAAAAAAATAATTTAATTAATTTAATTTTAAATAATTTGATTTCAAATTAATCAAAATCATCGAATAAACACTTAAAAAAAAAAAACCACACAACATAAAGGGCAAAATGGTTAATTTATTTGTATTTGCGTCAACCCAAGAGAGTTTTCAAGAGTTCCTCTTTACCAAACAGTGGGGTAGCTTCAATTTTGTCAAAATTTCTGAAAAAATGAAGTACTACGTAAATATTGAAAAGGAGATTATCCAAAAATTAATGAATTTTCCAATACATAGAGGAACAAGAGAATTAGCAATGTTTTGACACGCTGGATTTTGCCACCTGACTCACATGCCGTCGAGCAGTTAGCAAACTCACGCGCCCTCTTTTTGTTTTTTTTTTAGGTGTATGCAACCAACAACGTTAGTTGTGGGATACAATTTTTTACTAAGTAGTATATTATTTAATTTGTCTATTTTTTATTAAAATTTTGGTAAAAAAATTAGATCAACTTCAACACAATAATAAAAAACATTTTGGTAATTTTTGAATAATTTCATTGTAATTAAAATTTTAAGAAATTTTATTTTGTTGAATTTTGAGTTTGTAATCAAATTTTATAATTGGTGTCAATTATATTTTTTAATTATAACATCAAATGAAACTTATGTTTTACATAAAAAAATTCTTAAATTATTCATCAATTTGAAAATATTTTTTAAAACTTTTACAATGTATACAATATAATACAGATTATAGATAATATAAATAAAGTTTTTATGAATAATACTCGTTAAAAACTCAATCATAAAAATTCATTAAAATTTTGATCATATAAATGAGTAAAGTAATAATATATTATATAAAATATATAAATAGAAGTCATTATATTATTTGGATATGCGAATCTTGTATGTACATTTATATAAAGTATTATTATTATTAAAGTTTTATATTGTGTAATAAATTTTACATCATAATATTACTTTTTGATGGAATAAAAGTGAATCAAACAACATATTAAGTATTTTTGGAAAGAAATAAATAATCATCATCTCCTTTGAAATATTTTAATTAATTTTTCTCATAATGAATAAATTTAATCAAGTAGTTAACAAAAAACGATTTTGTAACATGGTTTTCTCTTTTTTCTTTTGGCCATCATAATTCACATAGTATCCTTTGTTTCAAAATGGAAATGTTTGGAAGCATTTAGAAAGATTTATTATTATTATTTGTTCACAATTTATAGAATTTTTTCTGCAAGTGTGATGTGCACGCGCTGGCATCGGTCACCATCTGTTAATTCTTCGGACAAGACGCTTGAGCAAAAACAAAAAAAATAAAGGGACCAAAAGGTGAAAAAAAAAAAAAAAAGACAAACACCAAAATTTCATGCTCAGGTGAAGGAAGAAAGAAACGCATTTGCTCTCTCCTTTCTCTCCCTCTCTCTCGTTAGATCTTGTGGACTTTAAAAAAATAAAATTGTTTTCCTTAAAAACAAAAAAAAAGAAAATTAAAAGAAAGCAATAAATAATTAAATAAATAAAAAACGCGGCTGCTCTGTACACCAAAACCAGGGAGAGTCCGTCTCTTTCTCTCTCTATCTCTCTCTCTCTCTCTCTCTCTCTCTTTCTTTCTCTTTCTCTCTGTGCTAATCGATTCCAGCTAAAGAGATCGCACCCAAAAAAAAAAATCCAAAAAATTAGCGGTAAAAAAAACAATAAAATTTTGGAGATCTTTGTGTTTAAGTCGCTTTCTTTTTGTTTTTGGAAATTAAACCGTTTAAAAATTTTGGTTAGGTGTTTGGATTCGTGATCGAGTTTCGGTTTTTGATAGAAATTAGGGCAAAAGCCCCCTTTCCCTTTGGTGGGTTTTATGGAGTTGTAAAAATTGGTTGGGAGAAACTTGTGGGATTGGAATAATAGAGAATTATGTTAGAAAACTTGATTATTGGGGTGAGGTTTGCATTTTTGTTTGAATCTTTTTTTTGTTGAATGATTTCGTTAGGGAGTAACGATGCGAGGAAGGGGCTAGGGTTAGGGTTTGGTGGAAGAGAAATGGAAGAGACTGAGCTTGAAGAAGGAGAGGCTTTCTCTTATAATAACAATAACGATGATTATGATGTCATCACAGACCCCGAAAATGATCTATCTTCTCTCTCTTACATAGTAAGAAAATTTGGCTCTTCTTTTTCTTTAACTGCTTAGCTTTCCTTATTGTTTATAACTACGGTTTAATTACATTGGGTTGACTTGTTTTTTTGGGTTGGGTTTTAGATCCAAAGTTAAGATTTTTACACTGATTAATTGCAATGTTGGATGTTGTAACTTCCATTTAAATGTGTTTACAGTTTAATTGTGTTGCATATAGAAATATAAGATATGGATTGGTGTTATATAACTTCAATTTAAATTTGTTTACTGTTTAATTGTGTTGCATATAGAAATATAAGATCTGGATTGGTGTTTTACTTTTTAATTCTAATGCTGCGAGCTGCGTTTGGTTTATGATGGAGGTATCTAGGGAATTTAATTTTTAAGAGATTTAAGTAAGAGAAGAGAATTGTATTCTGCAACGTGTCTAGCGCAGACGTAAATGAAGCTTTTTGGCATAGTGGTGTATTAATGGTTTTAGGTTTTTTTTGAGTTGTCAGATGTGAGTTAGACAACCATTTACCGGAGAAGGCATTATTGGTAAATTTTGTTTCCATGTAAGGTTGGTGATGTTTAATTATGGTAATCTTGATTGTAACGCTGGGGATTTCATAATTGGAAGTTGGGAGAGTAAGATTCAAACACATTAGTTAGCTTATAGAGTCGCAGTGTGTTATTACTGCTTCTAGAGGATTAGCTGCTAACTGTACAACGTAGGACTATATGTATTAGACCTTTCCCAATATCTTATTACTTTTCTGATGCTTGCTCACTTTCGAAATACAAACATGGGAATTATTGAAATGTTTGTTTGATTTGCTTGAAAGGGTATCATTCATAGAATACCTTGCTCCACTAGAATCCAATTAATCTCTATCCATGTGTTTATGATCTTTTAGTGATGTGGTTCCTATAATGTTTTTGAAGGATGAGAAAATTCAACATGTTCTCGGACATTTCCAAAAAGATTTTGAAGGTGGAGTTTCTGCAGAGAATCTAGGTAAGTCAAAACAAAAGGAGAATCATGGTTCTTATGAGGTCAAGAGTCACCATAAATTGGAGTTCATAATTTGAAATTGATTGTTTTGGGATGCTTGACACTGTCACAGGGGCAAAGTTTGGTGGGTATGGATCATTCTTACCTACTTATGCACGCTCTCCTGGTTGGCCTCATCTGAAGAGTCCGGCAAAAGTGCAAAGCTGCAATGCACGTAGATCCCCAAACAATATGCCATTGGAGGTAAGAGTTTTTTCTCAATTTGTCTCTTCCCCCCCCCCCTCCCCTCCCCTGGTTATATTGTTAATTTCATGTAAAGGAGGAATCTTTCCCAGGATCTTGGTTTACTTGAGAAGTCCAAGTTAAAGTGAGCGCTTAGTTTGTTTTGTTATATAGGATGGCCATCCTAACTCAGCATGTTCAGCAAGTGGTTCCAAGTCACTGAGGCCTGGATCAACTCCTACAAATTTTGGAACCCTCCCTGCTTTGAAGTCATCGTCTGTGAATGATTTGATTAAACAAGAGGTTGGCAGAACATCTGCTCACGCTGATGAGCTTTCCTCTAGGTCTGAATTTGCAAACCAGAAAGCTGCCAATCTGCCAGACCAGAAAACACTGAAGGTGCGAATCAAAGTGGGTTCAGATAACTTGTCGACACAAAAGAATGCTGCAATCTACAGTGGTCTTGGCCTTGATGTCTCACCATCTTCCTCCTTAGATGAGAGCCCTTCAGAAAGTGAAGGGATGTATCGGGGGACTCAAGAGCCATTTTCTCCAACTAGTATTCTTCGGGTAAATCCTCAATTTACTATTTTGTTTATCTTCTCATAAAAAGAATGTTCCTTTTCTTGTATCTTCTGACATCTGATGTACCTGAAGTGATCGGAATACTTTTTTTTCTGGATATTTTGAGCAGATTATGACTTCCTTCCCAGTACCTGGGGAGGCACTACTATCACCTCTCCCCGATCATCTACTTAACTTGATTGTAAAGGAAACCATTCCAAAAGAGAATAGATATGATTCTGGAAAGGGTGATGGGATATTATTGGGTGACAAGGAAATGAAGCCAGTGGAGAAAAAGGATTTTCCAGCAGAAAGGAAGAGTGGCAATAACAGGGAAATAAGGAATGATAATGGTATTCCATCAAAGAAGGAAGTAGATAATGACACATTGGCTTGTGAGGAGCTTGTTTCAAAAACAATGAAGCTTCCTCTTTTATCTAATTCATATTCTGCTGTTGACAAGGTAAAAAATAAGGGCATGGCAAAAAACAAAGGTGTCCAAGATGTGGCTATGGAGGAGTCAGTGGAGCCAATGCTTACCCAAGAGATTGGCTGGGAGAATCTAAGGGCTGGTTCAGTTCAAAAGGTTGTGGAAGAACAAAAGACAAGTTTTCTGGAGGATATTTCAGGCTTTGTGAGAAAAGATGGGTATAATAAAGCAGACAAAACTTATGTTTCTGTCGAAGCTGACTCTAATACTCTAAAAGGTAGCAAGGCTCTAAATAGTGAATTGGTAAATCCTTCCAAGCAGATCAGCCAGAGAGCTACATCACATGAACAAGACAATATGAAGTTGCCTCTTGCAAAGGAGCATACCTCTTCTGGTGGAAAAAGAAAATCAAAAGGCAGTCAGAGTCATGGCAATCTAGCTGCAGAGATAACAAAAGAAAGCTTGGGGGTTGGTTCTTTGGTGCTGAAAAATAAGCAGACTGCTCACTTGAACAATTATACAAACAAAAGGGAATTGGGAGACCAAAAATTAGAAAGATCATTTCGAAAGGCTGTAGATAGATATAGAGATTTTTTTGGAGATATTGGAGAATCAGAACAGGAAGAGAACCAAACAAGTTCATTGGAAATTCGTTCTGAAGATCGGCTGAAGGAAGCTGATAAGATTGAAAAAAACACCTCAGCCATTAACAGTGCACACAGTGATAGACTAAGTGATAAGAAAAGTGAGGATTTGTTGGCAACCGAATCATATGCCAGAGCAACTTTGGATGGTGCTTCTAACTCAATCAATGTGAATGTTGCTGGAACTTCCCATGCAACTGCAGCTCCTGTTTTGATAAAAGAAAATTGGGTTTGTTGTGATAAGTGCCAGAAATGGCGTCTTCTTCCAATAAGCATAAATCCTGCTGATTTACCTGAGAAGTGGTTATGCAGCATGCTTAATTGGCTGTAAGTTCTTTATCATCACCCATTCTAAATTTTTATGAATGCAATTTAATGGTTTGGACTGCTAAGTTTTTTCATACATGTACATGCATACCTACATATATATATTGTTAAAGTTGTGTTTGACTGAACATTAGACCATGGGTGTTGATAGTTAAACTTTGTGACAGATTGTTTAAAGATATCCCTTTCTCCCTCCTTCAAATCTCTAATATTGTTTGTCTTGTAAATGTCTAGGCCTGCAATGAATCGCTGCAGTGTTGATGAGGAGGAAACTACAAAAGCTGTTTTCGCATTGTATCAAGTTCCTGCTGCAGAGAGTCAAACTAATCTGCAAAGTAATCCTGGAAATATTATGTCTAGATTACCTTCAGCCAATGCCCTGCAAACTGACCAAAACCAACGAAGTTTTGGTTCACATGCCATGCCCACTGCTGGAAGGAAGAAACATGGTTTAAAAGAAATATCAAATGTAATGGATAAAGATGGGCCAACTCCTATGAAGAAGAACATGCAGTCAACAGTCCGATCTGGAAGCCTGACTAATGTGACTCGATCTCCTGTGGTAGGTGAACCTGCTTTACAGCATCTAAGCAAATGTGATTTGCCTATCGAGAAACACAAAAATAAGCAGAAAGAGGAGCATAAATTTTCGGAACACTGTTCTGATGGAGGTATTCTCTTTAAACTGATATTTATTGTACTTGTAAAACTTTTTTTTTTAGTTACGTAATGTGTTGCTTTTATAAAACATGCAAATAGGTGATGCCAAAACTTTGAAGATTAAAGGCAAAAGGATTACTGATCAAGATTCTTCAAGGGCCTCCAAGAAAATTAAAGGTGAAAATTTGCATCATGCTGACGAAGATTGGATGTTTGAGCATACTGGTAAGGTGGGGCCTAACACAAGTAATGGTTTGCTTACCAGAACAGTAGGAAAGGATCAGCCTAAACACAGCGATTGTTCTTATAAGGATTCAAAGTCGGATAAGGACAGGCAACAGGTCTCTGGTAAAAGACTAAAGGACAAAGTTCAGGTTTCCTTAACTGATGGGTCACTGGATGTGGCGAATTGTGATGGTGGGGAAGCATTAAGAAAGAGGAAAGTTGATGACTGCATTGATAGTAAATTATATGCAAGTTCCCTCCAAAGTATGGCTAATCATCTCCAGGATAGCAGAGTGTTTGTGAAGGAAGAGTTCAGTGAGAATGAGTACAGGAGGGAAAAGAAGGCCAGGGTATCCAAGTCTGGGGGGAAGGATTCCTCTGCAAGTAAAAGCAGTGGTAAACTGGAGAAAAAAAGTAGACAAACAAAGAATCACCTAAGTGGGCAAGATCTAGGTAGCTCTCTGTCCCAACGGAGCTTAGATGGTATGGATTCATTGAAAAGGGATTTTGGATCTGCCCAACCTTCTTTAGCAGCTGCCTCAAGCTCATCTAAGGTTTCTGGTTCACGTAAATCAAAATCTGGTTCGCTTAAATCAAAACCTTGCTTCCATGAAACAAAAGGCTCACCAGTAGAATCAGTTTCTTCATCTCCTAAGAGAATTGCTAATCCTGATAAACTTCCATCTACAAGGAGGAATGGTGCAGGGAAAGACAAGTCTCGTGATACTTGTCTTTTTGTTGCAGGTAGTCTAAGAGGATGCTCAGATGGTGAAGATAATGGTAGGAGTGACAGGTCAGGGACAGTAAGGAAGGAAAACACTTCTGCTGCAGCTCAACACGGGTCTGTTGAGTCCTCTGTACTTGATATTCAGGATAAGGATGGTGGTCAATTAAGTGGCAGTAAAGCTAAGGCACCAGTTGTATCTTCTCCTGATTTCAGAAAAGGCCAGTCTATAAATGGTAGTGTTGATTATTTAGGCCAAGAGTCTCAATATGCTGGTAAATCAACAACAATAGATAAACACCATGATGAGGATAATGCCAATGTCTCTCATCCAAGAAAGTCGGGCAAGGGGTCCTCACGGTCAAAGGACAGGAGTCATAATTTTAAATCTGATTCTGCTGATGAACAGAAAGATTGTGAGCATTTGTATGAGGTAAAACCTAGGGATGGTAGAAATAGATTTCAGGAGAGGCCTGGAGTCAAGTCCAATGAAAGTGAGAATAGATTTGTTGATAATAAAGAATCTTTGGGAAAATTGTTTGGTGAGAGTAGTAAAAGAGAGAGTCAATCAAATGTTGGTCGCTCAGATGCTAAACCAGATGCTAAAACAGATGCCACTGGAGGTCAAGATGTAATGTCTACTGTGAAGCAGAATATTGTACAGGATAGCGATGGTGAAAAATATACAAAGAGGTCCCACTCTCACAAATCTGATCATGCAGAAATTGCTTCTGGGAGAGGGAACTCGCTGTCATTACCACCCTCAGGAGGAACTCAAAATGAGATGCTGACTCATTGCCCCCGACCTGTTTCTGGTTCCCGAAAGGGAAATGGAGCTGACGGATCTCAGGATGATGATGCATTGAAGGTACAAAAACCAATAAAGAAGGCTGATCATCAAAATGGGACTCAGCACAGTAGTTCAAGGCATACTGCATCAGGTGGACGTAGGATCAGGGATGGTGATGCCCCAAGTCCAATGAGAAAGGATTCCTCAAGTCAGTCAGCTACCAATGCTTTGAAGGAGGCTAAAGATTTAAAGCATCTGGCTGATCGTTTCAAGGTTTTGCCTTTCTGTTATCTTGTAACTTATTTGTTGCATTTATATATTGTCCTAGCCTCTAGCAAGCTCTTTTTCTTTAATTTTAAAAATCTCCTCAGAACTCTGGATCAAATGTGGAGAGCACAGCACTTTACTTCCAGGCAGCACTGAAGTTTCTTCATAGTGCTTCTCTACTGGAATCTTGCAACAGTGAGAGTACCAAACATGGGGAGATGATTCAGTCTGTGCAAATGTATAGTAGCACTGCAAAACTTTGCGAGTAAGTTAAATATTAGGTGCTATTGTCTGTGTTCATTTCTTTTCTAATCCTAAGTTGCTATATGTTGTTGAAGCTTGATCTTGTATTAGTTGAAAATTCCTGCTACATGGAAATCTTCTGTTATTGCATTTTGTTTTGGAATGATTCAATTTTGTGGTACTTGATTTTATTTTTGTTTGTTTATCATTTAATATTCAGGTTTTGTGCCCATGAATATGAGAGATTAAAGGACATGGCTGCTGCTTCTTTGGCCTACAAGTGTATGGAGGTGGCTTATATGAGAGTCATCTATTCTTCTCATGGCAATGCAAGTAGAGATCGATATGAGTTGCAGACAGCTTTACAAATGGTTCCTCCTGGTAATTCAAAGAACCCAGTGATTCAACTGACTGAAATCTTTCCTACTAGTCTATATAGAATATAAATTTTAAATTGTTGTTTACTGGTTCTTCTACGCTTACATAGTGATCAGGGAGCAACGGCTCTGATAGTTACTCATGTAATTTTGTTACTTCATTTGTGAAAAAACGTCTGTATAAGACGGTTGCATTTTAGACACAGCTGAAATTGATTGCACTGCATGAATAATTAGTTTACTTGCTTACAGTGTATATCTTTTTTTGCTTACATGCCATGAATTTGTTCTTTGGTATCTTCAAATCTGAGAATCTTCAGACAAAATGTCTTTCTGGTTACTTTTGTGCTGCTTTTGGGTTGTCTTTTGTTAACACAGATATACATATATTTGTTGTTCTGTTTTGGGTGGACAACTTGAGTTTGTAGATCATCAGTGTTCTTGTGTTATTTGACATGTAAGCTGTACTAGTTTTTACAAAATGGTGTTGAACCTAAGTTTAGGACAGGCCTTGTTGGTATGCATGCATACGAATAGAAATTTAAAGTAAGCATACTCATCAGTCTCTCAGTCTTCCCAGCCCCTTGATCACCATTTTCTTTTGTGTTTTCCTTTATGGACATAAAATTTCTTTATAAATAATGTTAATATTGCATTGATTGAGACAAACTGATGAAGTTAATTTTAACTTCTTTTCTTGATATTGGTTGTTGTTTTCATATCAGGTGAGTCTCCTTCTTCTTCTGCCTCTGATGTTGATAATTTAAATCACCCAACAACAGCAGACAAGGCGGCTTTTCCAAAAGGTGTTAGCTCTCCCCAGGTTGCTGGAAATCATGTTATTTCTGCTCGAAACCGTCCCAACTTTGTGCGATTGCTCAATTTTGTAAGTGTAGTTTTTCTTTTATATAATTTTGAAAGTGTAATTCATGTGTTTTTCATATCGTATGAGAATGAAAGCATTATTGAACACCTCCGCCCCCCCTCCCACCACATACACACCTTTTCCCTCAAAACTGTTTTTTTTTTGTCCAATGCCTATAAACCCTTTTTTTTTTTTATCTGCGTTCTCACAAACTTTTTCTCCCCCTAACATGACCCAAAGGCTACTGGTTTTTGTATGTTGAAATTATATATGTGGACTAGCAGTTTTATGCTTTCAAGCATAAAAAGCTTTTGTAGTCTTGCCCATGAACTGCGTCTTCTCTCTCTCTCTCTCTTACTATCATGCATCATGTCATTTTGTGCTCTACGGCTTGTATATCTTATCTAAGTTTAGTGACCAGTCATAACTAAAATCAAATGTGATGATTTACAGGCACAGGATGTAAATTATGCAATGGAAGCTTCAAGGAAATCGCGAATTACTTTTGCAGTTGCCAATGATACTTTGGGAGGGGCTGATAGTGGGGAGGCTATATCTTCTGTGAAGAAGGCTCTTGATTTTAACTTCCAAGACGTAGAGGGAGTTTTACATTTGGTACGAGTTGCAATGGAGGCCATTAGCCACTAAGAAAAAAATCTGGTTTGTGAGAATGGTTTTAATACTAGAGGAAATTTCATTTTGATGGTTTATCCTTTGGTATGAAGTTCTACAAGAGAAAAATAAGAGGGGATGGCCAGCTCTTCCTGCTGCAATAGTTAACACTTGCATTTAAGAACTGGCAAGTGAAAGCATTCTAACACTCTGTAAATATGTGCAACTCAAGATAAATCTGGGATTTTCAGCATATTCTTTCACAAGCTTCAACTGCTTCTGACATGGAACAAGCATTGTTAATTTCCTTCTCTTGATGGTATTGAGACATGGATTCATAAGGTTTATATGCGAAATTGTTCTAAGTTGTATACATAGGTTTTTCTGCTCCAAAAGAATTGTTGTTGAAGAAATACTTTTATAAAGAAAGAGAAGCCAACTATAGATTGAGGCCGAATGGTAGAAGTCCAATAGTAGAGTTTGCCATTGTTTTGGCACTACCGTTCCCCAGAAGCAGTTTTAGTTCAACTGACTAATTAATTTGGTGATGCTATTTTAGTTAGAGACCTCTTTAGGAAAATACCGGGATATGCCGCAGCATCTGCTTCCTCCTTTGCCAGAGGGACTGCTGTTTTCTTAGTTAAAGCAATTACGAAGAAGAGCACTGTAGTTGGCCGTCTCAGGTTTGCTACTGTTAGATTCGTCATGCTTTAAAAAATAAAAAATTGCTACATTAAGTCAATTTGCTTTCCCCTTCCCTTATCCTTTTTCTATTTCTGTTTTTGTATTCTTTCAGTTTCACCTTCATTATTTGTGTTTGTGCAGGTCAGCCACTGTAGTACCTGTCATGGTATATACTGGTGATTAATCAAGATAAGTTGAAAGAATGTAGGAGAAAATTCGTTATTTTCTTTTTTCCCTTTAAAGGTTGGTTTACTTATTGTTGTTTATTTGATTGCTTAATATTCTGCTCTGGCATATCATTGCTTCTAACCATTCTTATTTTTGTGGCAGTAAATATTTATGTACCATAAACATATCTTTTTATGGCTCTCAATTTGGGATGTGGCAAGTACTTCTGTTTGTGGGAGAGATCAATCTATTATTTTCAAGTTCACCATCATGATGCTGATAGGTAAAATCTCTTTTACTGATCATTATTGTTCTTTTATTTGATTGCAGTTCTCTTCTAAATATCTTGCAACAAAAAAAAGAAAAAATGTAGTTTGACTTAGGAAGGTGCAGACAGTTTTACTAACCGTCATCATTAGTGGACTAGAGAAGCCCTTGCAAGTAATTGCTATTGGAGTCTAAATTCTGCAGATAATTGGCCTTTCTTTTAGGAGGCCTGAAAATGGCTGTAACACTACCTCAACGAAGTTTGAGCTGCAGCTGAACTCCAACCACCATAGGCACAGTGTTAACAAGCCAATAATACAAATTTAAGAGGCATGAGCCTCATGTTCCTAGTTTGCATGTCCATAAAATACTGGGTAGCTGAGCCTTTTACGATGTGGCACCATGTGGTTGCTCGTTTTTATACATTAGGAGTTTACTTTTCAAGCAAAATTTGAAAAAAAAGATTATTCAATGATAAATATGTGACTTGCCGGTGAACAATTGACTTTGTATTGATGAGGGTTAACACATCTCTTTGTTGAATTTAGGTGTTGACGTTTGATGAGTGCTAATTGCACAATATGTTTTGATTTCAGGTTGAATAATTTTGGCAATGGATGGAACGCAATGGCGAATTGGCTCCTTGTGCTCCCTCTATTTCATTATTGTCGCTATTTCACCCGTACATATCTCGGTTGCTAAACTCTGGTTTGACAATTTATACGACAATTTCGACGCCTTTGTTGTTGATTTTTTTTTTTTTTCCTGTATGCGCATAGGCAATGACATTTATGCAAGTCTTTCATCAATAAAAGTGGAGCCGCTTTTGGTTTTGTATTTGGGTAACTTCGGCCTTCCACAATCCACATGATAGAAGAAGGTTGGTGCGTGTGGCGTGGTGGGCTAGTGTTCCTTTGGTTTATCAGTAACCTAAGACTAGAAGCTTAAATCATTTTGAAATCATATTTGTGAAAGGAGAAGTTATTCGCTAGTTTCCAACTCATGGTTTCTAAAGTAATTTTTTTATAATAGAAAAATTATTAAGAGAGAAAAAGAAAGAAAATAGATCGGAAAAGCAGTTTTTGATGTTTATGGACTTGGACACTCACTGTATTCACAGGTACAGACTATAGAATGCTTTATGACATTTTGAATCTCCGAGCTGAGACTTAGTCTAACCTTTTGAAAATATTAGAATAAATATATGAACCCATTGATCAAATAATAAAACCTGAAAAAATAAATGGTGATTACGCAATTTTATATAAAAATAGAAAATCAAGATAAACATATACATATATTTATCTTTAGATTCTTTTTCAATCCGTTATCTTATTTGCAATTTTACCAATATTTAACACAATTTTAAGTTTGCTTTTAAAATTTATTACCATTATCATAATGTCTGGATCTGCTAGTGCTACTAGATTTCTTTGTAAAAGAAAATCGTTCCAAAAAAGTGAACAACTCATGTAATATTCATGCTGAAAATTAAAGTGAAAACACTAACTAAATTTCAATACACAATTAAAACTTCTCTAACTTTACATAATACTACCAAAAAGATATTTTAGGATTTCAGTGTTAGGCAAAACTCCCCAACCCCCCAATTGTGAATCCATTTCCCATGTACCATTTGCAAAGGCCTAATTAGGCCAAGTACTTAAACATGTTTGGATTCTCCTTGTCTCTCTCCAGATAGTCTCGTGTGATGAGATCCTCCATCCGCTTCTTTATGGCTTTAATATCAGGCTGCAAACAGAGCACAACAATATATAATTACTACTAACTACTAAGAATTATTGGAGCTCAGAAACTCCGATCACCTTCCCCTTTGATTCTTCTCTATGGCTTTTACATCAAATTACACAAAAGCAATCACCTATGACAAACAGAATATGTTTGCCTTGCATGTGTCTGTGTTTTTATGTCAGTTAGGCAACCATAAATCCCCATCTATACATCTAATGTTTCTCTCATAACTACACACAAAGAGTTAGAGTATAATAATACCTTGAACATGCGACTCAACTGCTCAACACACTCTGAAACTAATTGTTGGTGTCCCAAAACCTTCCTACTCTTCATTATGCGCACAATTGCAGCATCAATAGCATAACGCCGATCTTTATCAACATCTTCAACAACTTTCTTCCGTTCATCCACCGGAGGGAGAGGAATCTACGTAGGTTAATTTACAAAGGTAAAATCTTCTCTTCCCAATAGATACTAAAAGATACAATGATATAAAAGAGAGTTGCAAAATCATCCCAGACCTTGATCCTCCTCAACTTGTCAGTAAACTTAGAGTTGAACTCAAAGTAGTCACTCTGGCAGATGGTTTTTGTGTTTGGCTCCTTACTTAGAATCTTATACTTGGCACATGACAGCGAATGTAGTAATCTGACCAAGTCATCATGGGTCAAGTTCAACTGAGCCATAATCTCTGAATAGCTCAGCCTATCATAAGTATTAAAAAGCAGCAGTACAGCAGCCTGTTTAAATAGGCAACTGGAAATTAGATTCTATAATCAAAGTTGAACACCAGAAACCAGCAAGAGACAGACTCGAATCCAACCCAAATCACAATTTTTTAATTTAAAAAGTGCACAGTTTACCGAATCTGTTTACCTGATAAGTTGAAACAATCAGTTCAATAGTTTTCTGCTCAAACTTGCCATTTATGTGGCAAGTCCCCAGTGAGTATATCCATGTAAGCTTTCTGTGTTTTGTTTTTGTTTCATAAAATCCTTTGAAAACTTCCACGCACTTGACCTGAAACAATGATACTCCTAAATATAAATAAAATTTCTATACACATTGTGGAGTAGAAATTTAATACTGTCATCATGCCATAACATATTGAAAGTCATTACCATCTCAGCAGGGAGATTGAGATCAAATGATTTATAACTTGGCCAGAATCCTGTGGTAAGAACGGTAACTGTTAAATCAATCCCAGGATGTGCAGCTGAATTATTCCTAAGATAGTCCTCAAAGCTGGCCTGGTTTTCCCTTGCCAATGTCAGATCTGTGACCTTTTAGGAAGGTAGAAGACAAGTTTCATCACAATTAAAACCATAATCAATACAGACGAATAAAGTAGGCAAAACAAAGGCCAACTGACCATGCCCTCCATCTTCGAGGTGAACTGTCCACCACATTGCTGCTTTAGCTTAGTCAGAATACTCCTTTCATGATCATCATTAGCACTGCGGTCAAATAGCAGTCGCCGAGCAAGCTTCTTCCTGCCAATGATTGCATGCCATAAAGTTAGGATCAAAATGTACCATGTAAACTCATACCATTACAATTTTTTTCAAAAAGCAGATATGGAATTAATTGACCAAAAAAAATAGCCTCACCTGTAGAATTCGGCAAAGAGGTCTTTATCACTAATATAGGCAAGCTGCTTAACAACCTGCAGAAACCAAACAGATAGTTCAGAACCAATTTCAGATCAATATAAATTTAGCATCAAAAGACCGATAAGCTACCTTCTCAAGTGTTTCTTCAATGGCTTCATCACTTAGTTTCTCACTTCCACCCTTCTTGAGGATATTATCACAGAAAGTTCCCAAAAGCTCTGCACTCGAGCTGCCAGTAACAGTTTTGTTGCAGAATACCTCAAAAGCCTCTTTCAAGGCCTATTGAACATTTCAACAAAGTGTGTTTTAGGTAAAATGAGATCAAGATCCATAATACAAATTAGGTATTACAACACAAACCTTGTGGAAGAGTGTATGGTTTTGAAAACAGTCGTTCACATACGCCATATACTTATCATGCAGCTCAATTATTTTCCTGATTAGGACCTGATGATAACAATAGTACAAATTTTCAACATCTATACTGATTTTGCGAGAACCCATAGCTGTAAAAGTTGGGACAATTTACCTGTTCCCGCACACCTGGAGCATTTGAGGCCTGTGGAAATGCGTGACTATCAGCACTTAGAACCAGTAAGAGGTGAGTATTAGAAACAATAAATTATGTAGATTATCATCTATTTTTCCCCTCAATACCGGGAAAATCTTAGACTGTAGTAGTTGGAATTAACTCTTTTTTCCTTTTTCCTAAAGAGAAATAACAAGGGAAAGTTTGCAGTTGGCAAGTCAAATGAATAACTGTTAAGACAACTGCACAAAAACAATAAGTAATATAGATAAAAAAACACCATGCCAAACTGATATGCTTAAATACTACTCTTGCGCCCAATCTGTTAGTTTAAAAAAAAAACAATTTAATCCCCTCACAAGCACACAATTACTGTTCAGAAAAATCTTCATGAATTACGTTTAGTACAGAATAAATCAATAAATGTATCCAGCATTTATCCTTGCTATCAGAGAGGGACAATAACAAAATTAACCTGGTTACTTGCAGCATCTTCCGCCTGCTGAACCAAAGCTGTACCCTCAGCAGTAATATGCTGCAAAAAGAAAGTACTCAGAAAGAGTCAGTAAAATCATACGAGAAAGATGGCCATTTAGCTTGCAGAATAGAGTAAACAGAAAAGTCAGACCTGTTTGAATATATTAGCAACAGGATCCAAGCCTCGTGGGATTTTACAATAAAGCCTGTACATCCTAGAAAGATCCTCCACCTAAAGAGTGTAAACAAAGCGAGATAAGTTTCTGATGCATACATTTTCCAAAAAAGCAGCCAGAAGAGCAAGCATTGCTAGCAAAGAAACAAAGGTTAAACAATACCTTGTCATCTCTAAGCAAGCCCCTGCATCCCGAATGCTCCTTGTCAAGTAGCCGATTTGCATACGCAACCAACAACTCATGTTGCACTTTCTAGATAAAGAACAAACAACTATAAATAGAATGCTCTAGGAATTATAGAGCTGTCTTCGTAGGAACTCTATGTTAATTCTTATCACAATATTCCATGTCTAGGAAAAAACATGCAATCTCAATTTCTAGGTAGCTTGAACAAAACAGATGAAAAAACCAGATCTTACCACCTAAGAAGAATTCACACAACTTCTCTTGTAATATCTTAGTCACAACTTTCATACATCAAAAAGTATTCATTTAAGTCACCTCTTATGGCAGACAATTAAATAGATTTTCTCTTAAGAAGAAAAAAAAAGTGCACCATCCACCAAACTTAAGCTCACAGAAAAAGCTCTTCAATAACCCTATAAATTTCCAATCATTAAACTGACCTCAGACAATTTCGTCTCACTGCTTGAATGCAGGTAATGAGACACTCTCTCCCTTTCCTTCTTCAGGCATTCTTCAGACTGCAATCATCAATAAAATAAAAAATATTATAACCATCCAGGTTAACCAGTCTAAAATACTTATAACCTATAAAAACACAAATGCAGGAAAACTTAAGCACTTACCTTCAACATGTAATCCGGACAAGAATCTTCCTCGATCCAGCTCGATGCTTTCCGTGAATAGTAAGCACCAGTATCCTCAAGCATGCTTACTTCAAAATCAGCTTCATAACGATCCATTTTTCCCATGCCAATCTCAACAAAAATATCTAAGACATTCTTAAGTAATGCTCGGTCTATTTGCTCTCCCTCACGTTCTTTATCAATCTGATACGAAGTAACCATTCCTCTTATTTTTTTTTTATTCAAAATGCAACCTAAAAATGCAATTAACTATGATGCAATGATTTAAACTTACAAGGGCAATTACAGCATCTCTGACTTTGGCATGCACTTGCTGGTATACCTGCAATTAGCAAAGCAGACCATACACAATTAGTTAAAAGTATATTTGAAATAATGAGCAGCACAACTCTCCAAATCCAACTCATTATAATCAGCATCAGATAAAGACGTCACTAGAAGAACTAATAACAAACCAGATCACGAAAGCAGGTCAGCCCAACTTCATTAAGTGCGGGAAGTGATCTCCGGGCAATGAAGTAGCGATCAAGGTAATCGAAGAAGCGTGATAGCCACCTGACCATTACTTTATGGTTCGCCCATCTTTTAACAAGCTCCCTCAGCATGAACTCATCATGCTTCTCTTTTAAAGATGGCAATACCTGATTTTAGTGAAGGAGGAAATTTGAGACAACCAGCATATTTACCACACAAAGTAGATGGACAGATAAATAGATTTCATAAGGGTTTCTATTGTGGAGAAAACTACTAAAAGAATAATCTACAAAAGTATCCAACAATAAAACCATAAAGCTTCAAAAACAATCATCAAGGAAAATGAGTAACTACAATCTTTAAACAATAATAATAATCTATAAAACATCAAACAAATGCAACCAAAGTTCTTGGAATATAGAAGCTTAAACAGAGTAAATGAAACATGGCAGCCCCTTCAGTTCCAGGAAAATGCATTGTAAAAGATTT